CTCTTTACCCGGATTCTTTATCGGTCCATCCCTAATTTCCAGCTAACAACCTGGAAAGGTTGGTCTGCCCAGGCTTTAGGCGCCCTCCCCTTGGTCCATACTTTCGGAGCATATGGCCTTTTCCTCCGGTGCATCTAAACCGGCGGTTTGGCTGGTGTGTCCCCCACTAAAAGACCTTATCGCTCGGTTCTCCAATCTCAGGCCCCGGTTCAAATTCAGCCTTCATATAGTACCGTCAAAGATCACTACTACCTCCAAACTTGGGACTTCCCAAATGGGCTTTGATCTCCGGTCTTGTGACCTGTGCCAAGCAAAGCCCACAGATTACAGCCTTCCAGAATCACCTCAACGGTGCCACCAGACACCATCTCGACAGATCCTCCATGGGCCAACCTTAAAGATTATCGCAGACTTTTCCCATATTACAAAAGCGCCGTCCCTGGGATTTGAACATGGATCTTCCCATAACGTTTGGTGAGGGTGACAGCTAGACCACTTCACTAAGTCGCCACACCTCCAAGAGATTATCTTAATACTAAATATATATATATATATATTATATATTTTTTGTATAGTTATGCAAATTTATATAGATTAATATATATTTATACACAAATATGCATAATTATGCAAAGAGTGTATAAAAATATACAAGAAGTAAAAGTTTGACTCAAAAGTAGCTTAGAATCAAACTCTATAATTTTTGCTAAAAACCACTTTTAATAAAACTTTCAACATCCTAATTTTAAATCTGATGACCTTCTAAGTTGATTTAGAAGCTAACCACCATGCATATCTGATTTGAGTGGATGTGCTGTATCAATGTGTATAGCGTCACGTGATTCGTTTGTGTCACATTATCCAGTTGTTTAACAACAAAAAATGCTGGTGAAATAAAATTAGTGAAATAATTTCACTACTTTGTGTTGAATTGGTAAAATTGATAAATTAATTTCACCAGCATCTCTAATTCGAAGTATATAGAATTAGTTACTTCGTGAAAAAGAATCTCAAAAAGAGAACTTTCTAAGAGAACACGCATAAGAAGGGCACGTTAAAAGCGCACAACATAGGAAGTACACAACGTAGAAAGGGCACATAGGAAGGGTACATGGAAAGTGCGAGGTACATGGAAAGTGCACATAGAAAGGTATATAGAAAGGGCATATAAGAATGGCGCACAGAAAGGATATATTCTGCATTAGAAAAGTGAATTGTGTATATGCTCTTAAATCTTTAGCGAATAGTATAGATTTTTGGAAAAACCACATTCAACTAATCGGTGACTTGCACCTGATATAGGATATGTGGTCTGCAGCCATTCACGGCAGTTATGACAAACGATTTGTCATATATGATATCCTTATCAAACAGGTTTTAAAATGAAGCTTTGTAAATTTGTGAATAATAAAATATAAATCCTTTAAAAAGGAAGATATAATAAAACGTTATTTAAATAAATAAATTCAAGATAAGTATTGAAAGCGTGGTGAAATCACGGGGCATGAAACTAGTTACAGTTAAAATAATGGTGGTTACAAATAAAATTATTAGATTGAAATAAGTAAAATGATTTAGTCAATGTGTGCTATGAATGAAAACACAGTTAAAGTTCATGAGTTCAATGCAATGAATGCATAGGAAGATGCAAGTCAGTAACACGACTTGATTATGTCATCCAGTAATAAGACAACTTTGTATAGAAATTAATTTGAGTGACGAGCCCTAAAGCTTCTAGGATGATAACCAATATATCCATCGGATCTCGTGTTATCAGCTTCCGCATTTTCAAACTTTTCTCTGGCTTTCCTTTCTTTCATCTTTCTTTGTTCCTTCAATAAAGCGTCGCGCCTAGATGTGTGTAAATCTTTTATAGCCCAGAACATCATTTTAGCAGGCGCATCAATTGGAGGGTTTTGTTCACGAAGATAATCTTTAAAGGCACGGAAGTGGCGGCGAGCGTAGGGTTTGAATTCAGTCCATGTGCATGTACCTCTTGATAGCTTAAGCGACGGAAATTCACGGGTATAATTTAAAAGCTTACTCTACGAATATTTATAAGTACACATGTTAGCGTAAACAAATAATAAGCATATACTTAAATTAAAAGAAGAAAACAACGTACTTTGACTTGAGAAAGTAACCTCAAATCATTCATGTTCCTAATATCATATCTAGTAAGATCTAAAGATGATACCAGATTTAAAGATCTCAATAATCTTCTTATGCCTTCACTTTGAAGATCAATCCTTTCAGAGTTATTAAGTTGTATACTATTCATTCTAGTAATTTAGTTGAAAAAAAAAAAATTAATGAGCATAATTTAATAATAATTTAATAATAATAATAATAAATATTATTTTTGCAGAAACAACTGAAAAAAAAACCTACCTCAAATTTCAGAATTTTAATGGATTGTTTTTCTTGTTCAGACACTATATTTATAGCTTTTTTTTCGGACTTTAAACTCCGAATTGTTGTTACATCAAAAGTTCAGAAGTTCTTTAGAGCCAAGAATTTTTATATGCCATATTGTAAATCGCCTAATACAGCAATAAGGTCGTAAATCTCCTAATAAGCCAGGTATATAGTAATTTATATGCGTCACATGATTTTTAATTTACAAATTTGTTAGTAATCAATTAAAAACTATACAGGTAATGATTTATTTATTATTATTTATTATTTATGATATATTTATTATTTATTTAATATGTGATCATAGTTGCCGTAGCCAGAGAGAATCAAATTCTCAAACCGACACTAATTAAAAGAATTCTTCGGAAAGCTGTTTATGTTATTTCAGCGTTAGTTGGTGAAAATTACTATTACTTGTAACAATATATTTCATTGACATATCTCATTCATTTCTCATTGATATATCTCGTTGACATATCTCAGTGATATATCTCGTTGACATATCTCGTTGACATATATCATTGATATATCTCGTTGACACATCTCATTGATACATCTCATTAACACATCTCATTGATTCTCCTTTTCCCAACATACTCACTACTTCCTAATACAAATACTTTCTTAACAATACTTTTCCAGCCATCTTCTTCTACAGCTATTTTCAATATACTACCTATTACAATAATTTCCATGATATTATTTCTCAAAGTAATTTCTCCCCAACGTACGATAAATAACATTTATTTTATTATAAAATGTCTTAAAATATTGTTGTTATTGTTTTGTCATATTTGAGGGATATGTTGAGGGAGTTGAAGGTCGTTGAAGGCGTTGAAGGTATAGTTGAGGGTGTTGAAGGTATAGTTGAGGGCATTGAAGGGGCATTGAAGGCCTAGTTCTCTGTATAACGTAACACAACACACAAAGCGTACCGCATGATTTTCCTTTTGTAATTATTTGTGTGGAGGTATATAGAGGCACTTGGAGGTATGTAGAGGCACTTGTGTAATGTGGAGTGTTTGCGTGGAGGTATAGAGGCACCTGTGTAATTTGTGTAATTTGGAGATATTTGTAATTGTTCTGCGGTAGCTGCGGTAATTGCGATACAATTGCGATACAATATTACTATTTTTAGATCGTTATTAGGTAACATTAAAGTAGCACACAAAAGGTTCATCGTAAATTATCGTACTAAATAACGTACGTACCAGTTAATGTACCAACTGATAGTGAACCACATAGTGTATCAGATAGTTTACCGCATAGTGTGCCAGGCAATGTACCAGATAGTGCACCACTTAATGACCCCATTTAACATATTAGCACTAATGCTAAAAATTTCTAAATTTACTAATATTTTAAGGAGCGTATTGAAAAATTGATATAACAATTATTATTATTGATAAACAAAATTTATTATCGTTATCGTTACGTTACATAAAGTGATCGATAGTCAACGTACTGCCGACTAAAAATATAAACTATCCATGTGATAGGTTAATACTATTTATATTTTTGAGGCTTAGATTGAAAATCATCAAAGTATAAACTGGTAAACGTTATATACTTGCGATAAAACAATGAAAATTTATTTGAGCGTATTTTACAATGAAATAAAAAAACAAATGTTTATTTAGCATATTTACAACGAATAAGAATTTGAATTATTATTTCAATTATGAATTTTATCTTGCTAGTATTTTTGTATGTCCTCTGAACAATTAAAACATTCATTTGCTAAATGTAAATTAATGATTCAACGTCCGATTTCAGATAAGTGATTTATTTATTTATTTCTCGCTTCCCGGTGAATGGTTATCAAAAAAAAGATAATTTTATCACCGGTTAATTTTCTGATTCGGAATTCAAAAAGAAAATAGGATCTTTTAAACTCCCACTTATTGATGCTCTAATTTATAACATATACAGTAGTTTAATTTTAATCAATATTTTTAACTACAGTTATATCTAGTTATATCTTTTTTATTTCAACAATTTTAACTACGATATATGTTAAAATCAGATTTATCGCGTGATAAAACCCAAAACATAGTGATGTTAAAACGGTTAGTCGGTATCACTAGTACGTACGTACGTACGATTTATTTACTTGTGCCAGTGATACAAAAAATCATGAGTGCCGTCAAAGGAAAATAACTTTCAATTATATTTTGTGTACCATTAGTCGTCTATATCATGATGGTTTTTTTATAGACGGCTAACTGTACACAAAATATAGTTGAAAGATTTCAAATGATTACTTTGAACTTCTTAACGAAAGAGAAATTTTTAATGTAATTATGAATCTTCAGATATTCAAGTTCATTCAAATATTTGAGATTATCTCAACAATTTGAAATCATTATTTCCTACATAATACTTGCTATAGAGAAACTAATTCTTCGGATGTGTGATTTTAATAGAAAGTCAAAATGCGTCATTTATTTCTGAGATAATGCTTGTTGTTGCGAGCATCTTCTTTAAGAATTGGTTAAGAGGGACCATCGATGTTACACTACTGATCCTTCACCCGGTGTGCAACATATAAAAAAAATATTTTACAATACCAGATCATTCCGCAGTACATGTTATGATTATAATCCAACACCATTTTATTATAATAAAAATATAATCATAACATGTACTGCGGAATGATCTGGTATTGTAAAATATTTTTTTATATGTTGCACATCAGATCAGTCTGTGTGCTGCCAGAAAAGGCTGATCGGACTTTCAATATATTTTGTGTACAGTTAACCTTCTATGAAAAATTTATTATAATGATAGACGGCTAACTGTACACAAAATATATTAAAAGTCCGATCGGCCTTTTTCCCTTGGCACTCATTTCTTGAAACATTTTATTTGAAACAAATTCCAGTTAGCTTTGTTTCACAGTTTACAAAACAAAATTGCTACTACGTAACACAGCAACATTATTGCTCCCTTGCTCCCACTATTGCTCCCTTGCTCCCATTATTGCTCCCTTGCTCCCATTATTGCTCCCTTGCTTCCACTATTGCTCCCTTGCTTCCACTATTGCTCCCTGCTTCCAAACACAATTGCTTCCTTGCTCCCAAGCATATGTACACCAAAATCTATGTGAAAAAAGATATAGCCGGTAATAAAATTAGCTTCGATAAACCTCTACAGGAACCACCCTTGCATCAACTGAGGTTAAATCGCCATCCGAAAAAATTACAAATCATGTGATTTACATTATTCATTCTGCATATTCAAAAAATCAAATATATTCATATGAGCTAAAATTTCCAATTTATATAATTTTTATTATGCGAAAAAGTTTTAAAAACCAATCATATACAAGATTTGGAGTGATTGCTGAGATTAAAAGTGATATTTTCGTAAATCTCTTATGAGTTACTTATCAGTTGCTTATCAGTTTTTTATATAGTTTGGGTCTTTAAATAGCTTACAAGCTCTTATCAGTTTTTATATGGTTACTCTATAAATTTTATAGTCAGTCATATAATTAATCTTAATTGTTTACAGCTCTTATCATTTTTTATATACGTAGTTACTTTATAAATTTTTATAGTTATTTTCGTCACTATTAATATCACATTAACTTTTTAATAATCACGATGTTCCGAGTGGAAATTTTAGCCCATATGTTTTGCTTTTATTATTTTTTATGAAAAATTTTATTAATAAGCATCGTATGGTCACGTCTCTTATAGTCATCAAAATAAAATTTTGTCTTTTAATTTTAGTGGTATTAAAATATAAACCGTAAAAAATAATAAACCTAAAGCTTCTCTTTCAGATTTACGGTTCACTTTTTTTAACCGTTTGTTATTTGGTGATATTAATATATTAAAGGTTAAAATTAAGTGGTTTCTCAAATTTCGGACTGAATATTGGTAATATGAAATTTTGACCAATAATAATCGAGGCACGTGATTAAAATCTATAAAAATTTCAGAAAGTGACTATATAACTGATATAACTGATATACCGAAATCACATAATCTAAAATTTTTTTGGATAGTGATTTAACCCCGGTTCTCTAGCATCGCCCAAAAATCAGTTACGTAACGGCACTTAAATCAAAATTCCGACAAATTTAATGTACAATAATGCGCAAAAATGAAATACTTTTATGAATTATAATCAAAATAACCCATGGTGATCATCACCATGGTCACGTGAAAACGTACCAGATACGCGTAATACTATGACGAATATCATTAAACTACTACTTTCTTTTA